TCAGGGCCCCTAGAATGAATGAGAATTGGGTTTCCGATGAGAAAAGGTTTATTCCTTTTCCAGACACTGCATATGGGTTCTGCACTTAGTAGTAATCCAACCCCATTTGTATATGAGACCCAAAGACTAATCGGGACATATTTTACGTCCTTTTCAGATGAATTTAAATCAAGATGGCTCTCCATTAGGGAAAGTAGGAAGTTTGAAGTTTGATCTGAGGGCAAGGACATAAAAAACATTTTAAAAAATTACACTGTATGGTGGCATTAAATTTCCATACCAAATCTCTGCCTAGAAGGTTTGCAGGTGAGGACTCTAAAACTAGGAAGGTATGGTGGGTGTAGAAGACCTAAAGATAACAGGGTGGCCTGAGATTGAGGCAGTAAAATAGGTTGCCCAGGGACTCCTGGCAGCTTGAGTGGAACTAGAGGTGATGGGTAGAGGTAAATCCTCTGAGCCAATGGTAGAAAAAGTTGCACCAGTGTCAACTAGGAAATCCAGTTCCCAATCCTCTATTTTAAGTTAGATGTCCGGTGCTGGGGTGTGACCGGGGATGGACTGACTGTCCTCAATGGAGAATTGCCCCACAGAAGGGAAAATGGACCCTGAGGGTGCTGGGGTCTAGGGAGATTATTTAAGCTTTCCTTTCTTTGAAGTGCAGGGCAATTGTTTGTTCAATGTACTGGCTTTTGACAATATCTACAGTTGTCTTGAGACAAATAGGTGAGGCTCTGCTCTACGGTTGACAACAAAAATGGATGAACTTGGACTTATTCCTAGAGTCAACTTTTGTTTTTCTAAAGACTCAAGGCAAGGACTGGTAATTTTAATTTGTTTTCCCTCCTGTTTTCCTGCTAGCTATTTTAAAAGAAATGACAAGCAGTTTTTGTAATAACACTCTTTTGTATTAGCCCTTTTTATCAGGAAGATTTTCCAACTCAAGCAGAAATGAAGAGATTTCTATGTTCTGAGCTTCTGGATTTGATGCAGTGTGTCTTTGAAAAGCCAGTATGACATAGTCCCCGCAAATGCTTTGGGCTCCCCACCTTCTTTCTGACCTTAGGCCAGTTCCCCATTTGAGGAAAGCCCTCTAGGATAACTCCTATTAGACCTTGAATATGGACCTCAACCTGTGTCATTTCCTGCTCATTTGCAAGAAGGCCTGGGAGGGGTTCTGGCCACCAGTTTCCCCAGTGTGGGGAACTTTCTCCAGGGAGCCTTGGCACATAACTACAGTATAATCATGGGAGGGAAAAATGTGCATTGAAAGCCAGTCAGGGCNTGCTGAACAACAGCTCAACCTGGAGCTGGGCTGCCATGGGCTACAGCCCCTGCTGCAGTGGATTGCCATGGGCTACCGTGTGTAGCCATCAGCCTGCATGAGCGGCCAGCAGCCGCTGTGAGCGGCCGTCCAGAAGCCGGTGACTGATCTGCCTTGCCCGGGAAGAGTGCAATGATGGTGCCAACTTGGGCCAGTGAAGTAGCGTCCTCCACAACTAGACTGAAGAACAAAACGACAGCAACTTGTCTGTTCCCCTTCCCCCAATTCCCCAGCACTATTCCCATCCCCCAATAAAAAAACTTAAAAAAAAAAAACCCACTGTGGTCATGGCCCCATCCTTCAGAGCTGCAGAAGGGCCCGTGGGCTTCTGGGACCTGGGGTCATTCACGGGGTATGGTGGTCCTACCCCTCTGGCTGCATGGGTTCCCAGGTAAAGGGAAGGATCCCTGCTTCCCTGGGTTGTGGTGAGAAGCTGCAGACTTGGCCTGAGAAGTGGCCAGCAGGGCTGGATACAGTGCAGACACCTCATGGGAACTCAGACTAGGCTGAGACAGTGTCATGCCGAGGAGAGAGGCTGCCAGCCATAAGGCCTTCTGTCTGCTGTGGGGTCCCATCCTGGGAGGCTCGTGGAAACTGGAAATAGCCTCAATGTCCCACTGCAGCTTCCTTGAGGTTCCTGCCTCCCCAGTGGCCAGGCCCCAGTGGCTGGGCGGCTGCAATCTTCCTCAGTGGGGGTTCCCCTCCCAGAGCTTGTAGGTTTCACCTCTGCCTGCAGCTAGGAAGCCAGGCGCTGGGCGCGGACACACACCTGATGATTGGTGCGGAGGCTGTCCATCTGCTTTTGAAACACGGCCACCCACAGGTCTTTGCACAGGAATTTGAGGACATCCAGCTCCTCTCTGAAGGCCAGTGTCTCCCGGGGTAGCCTGGGGGGCAGCGGCAGACACTTGGGCCAGGCCAGGGTCAGGGAGCCCAGGGTGGGGGAAGCCAGGCTGGGTTCTTCACCAAGCAATGCACCCTCCCATCGGGGGCCAGCCGGGGTCAGGGAAGGCAGGAGGGGTGGGTTCTCACCTCTCACCCAGGGCCTGGCCCACGCGGAAGCCCATGCCCTCCAGGACCGAGAGACTCATCTTCTGTCCCTAAAAGGCCAGGGAAGGAAGGCTCAGGGGCGCTCGGCCATCTCCAACTGGGAGCTCCCTGGTGTAGCAGCTGCAGGGGGACTAGCCATCTCTCCAGCTCAGCACTTCCAGGCCAGGACAGACTCAAGCCTGCTGGGTGGCCGGCTGGCGTTGCCCCTCTGCCCTGCGACCCCTCCACTCCCTCACTGGCCTCTGCAGACCCCATCAGCGCTCAGGACCAGTTCCCCCTTGCTCCAGGAAAAATGGGGGTGTTCCCCCCACTGAGCTTCACCCCTGCTGGTCACCTCTTTCCTGATAGCACCTATCACTCATTGTAAGCACTTTCAGGATACAGCCTTACAACTCCCTAGGAGACAGCACTCTGATCAGCTCTGCAGCTCAAGGTGACTTGTCCAAGGGCTCAAGTGGCAGCAAGGTGTGGACCCAGCCCAGCCAGCAAGGGGCTGTAAAAGTCAACTATGATCCTTATACCTTAAATTTATCAGCCAGGAACACTGGGAGGGACACACAGGGGCTCTGAGGAGGAAGACGTTCCCTTGGGTGCTCAGTGAAGGAAGTGGCAGCCAAGTGGCATTCTGGAGGGAAGGGCTGAGGCATCAGCCGGCCAAGGGCAGCATGGCTAGGGGAGCACAGACTTGTAATTTTCATTTGAGTGACCTGGAGAGAGCTGAGGGCGGGAGGCCCAGGTTGGGGCACCAGAAATACCAGGTGGGCCTGTGGTGTGAGGCCCCAAGCTTGCAGAGTTTAGGAGGGCCGAGGTGGGAGAGCAGAGAAGAGGTGGATGCAGAACCCCGGGAGGGAGGCAGCTGACTCTCCTGGCTGGCTCCTCTCAGAGGAGGCCACAGTCCCTAGGCCTGAGCCCTTCCAACCCATCCCTACCTCCTCTCTGGCCACCGGCTTCATTTGGGAATGACTTCTCTCCAGGCCCATCATGGAGGACAGGCTCAGGCTTCAGGCCTTGCCATTCACTGTTCCCTCTGTCCGGCTCCTGCAAGACCTCCTTATCCCCCATCCCAGGGTAGCTCTGCAATCCCCGCCCTGCCTACTCTGCACTGTCACCGAGTGGGGACACAGGCCGACCCTCAGCAGCCAACACAGGCCTTGGTGCCTGGGAGGTGCTCAAGAAACAGACACTGAACAGAGTGAAGAGTCCGGATTCGTGAATACACGGTGTGCGGGTTCTTTATACGAACCCTCCTGTTTAATTTTGACAAACCCGTAAGGTAGGCTATACTTCACACCTGGAAATGGGCTCAGAGGGTGAGCTGAAACTTGCCACGGGCACCCTCAGCCACGGGGCTGTCTTTCAAACCCAAGTAGGTCCAGCTGTCAAGCCTGGGTGGTCAGATGGGTAGGTGACACCACAGCTGTCCCGGCCCCAGTGAGGTGGCAAGGGTCAAGGCCCAGTTGGTGCGGAGTGCCAGGCATAGGGATGCCCAAGCAGAGATCACCTCCATTTCCAAGCAGGTGTCCTCTCCTCTGCCAGGACGCCTGGCACCCAGGCCCTTGCCCGCCATTCCCTGCTCCACCTGGCAAGAACCGGGCCTGGGTGACGACACAGCTTCCTGTCGGAAGGCTTTCCGGTACTGCCTGTCGGGTTTCCCTCAGGCTCAGCAGGGCCAGCCACACAAGGAGGGCTCCGGGAGGGGTCTGATGACTAATGACATTTGGGAGATGAGCTGGATGTTTGAGAGACAGTGAGGGGAACAGCTGCCTGTGAGGATCTGCCCGACACCTACCAGCTGTGGGACTGGGGCAGTGCTTAACTGCCCTGTGCCTCAGTTTCCTCATGTGTACTTCCCAGGGTCCTTATAGGACGAAAGGAGTTGGGAAATGCAAGTTGAGCACTCCAAGTTGGGCTCAGGAAGCATTACCACCTTTGTTAGTCACAGGCCCCGCATCTGTCAGCCTGGGTGACCAGCCCCCTGGCTGATGGGGCATGGGGCCCTTGGCTGGAGGAGAACCCTATGAAGGAGGCACTCTGTTCTGAGGGTGATGTTACCTCAGCTCCTAGAATGCTTGCAAGGCAGCTGCCACTCCCGTGTCACCTCCCTTCTAGAGGGCGCTCCTGGAGGAGGCAGGGCCGGGCTCCACACTGACCTAGCACATCGGTGTCCCTGAGGGTGTGCAAGGAGGCAGGAAAAAGCACGGGGAATGCAGCTTTGGCCATTGTTAACAAGGGGGGGACAGCGGTGGGAGGTGAGGAAGAGGAGGGTGCATTTTTCCCTGCGTGACAAATGCTGTGAGCAGGCAAGAACGAATGGTGCAGTTAAGGATTTCCTCACAATTATGAGGACACAGGGGGGGGGGTGTGTGCCCTCAGCTAGGCTAGGGAGCGCTCCTCTGAGGAAGCCATGTCCGAGTGGGTCTAAAGGAAGAGATACGCAGGGGAGGGAGTGGGTGGGAAGGCACCCCAGGTCCAGGCCACAGCCAGGATGGCCAGAGAGTCAGCAGGGTCCTCAGCTAGGCTGGAGAGCTCTGAGAGGGGGTTGGAAAGGTTTCCACAACTTTAAGTTTCCCTTCAGGGAGCTTCAAATGGCCTGGGTTTGAATCCTGGCTCCGCCACCTACTGGATGGGCGACTGTGGGCACACTATCTCATGGCCCCGTGCCTCAGTTTTCCCATGTGTGAAACGGGGCGATGGCAGTCTCTACCTCACAGTGGTGTTGTGACAGCTCAATCAACAGGGGCCAAAGTGTCTGCTGAATTGCAAAGACTGGGTGTGGTGTGATCTGGGGAATAAAGAGAAAAGGGAGGGAAAAAGAGGAAGTGGGAAGGGAAGGGCCAAGGAAGGATGAGCAGATGACAGCGGAAGAGAGGGTGGAGGAGGAAGGGAGCAGAAGCCGGTTCACCTGCCTTTGTCACAGCCTGTCCCGGGGACTCTGTGATGTTCCCACTCAGGTCCCTCCCTGCCAAGGCTCTTCAGAGATTAGGAGTTTATCACTAGTCCCAGGGAAGGCAAGGCCGACTCTCCCATTCATCGGGATCCTCTGGGGCCTGCCCGGAGCCAGTGCTGAGTTTATACAACAGCCCCCTGAGAGGAAATGGGATAATTAGGAACAGAGGGGAACCCCTTCGAGGAGTCTTATCAGTGTCAGCACCAATGGAGCCACCACACAGCACAGGCACTAGGAGGAAAGGACAACCGGACAAAGGGAAGTTCTTGGAAATGTGAAAGGTGGCAGCCAAAATAAACATCTGTTAAAAGGGAACTGAAAAAATAGACACATCTGTAAGGTAGATAAAGCCTCCCAGATTGTCCAGAAAAAAAAACCCGAGGTAGAAAAAAATTGAGGGAAAAGTTGTAAGATATGTGGAAGAGATTCAGAAAGCCTGATATTCCTCTGAGTGCCAAAGAGAGATGTGTGGACCAATGCGGAGAAGAAATAATCAAAGCGATCAGAGGAAAATGTGCTGAGCTGAAAGAAGAGTCGAGTGTTCCCAAAGAGAAGGGCTGCCGAGCTCTGAGCAGGACGAAGGGAAGACAGCAAACCAAACCCCCCTCTCTGGCCCCGTCCTGAGCACTTGACTAGGAGGACAGCCAGGAGGACACTTGGGACTGAAGAAGGCGGGAGCTGGGTGACAGCTATGTGCCTGGCTGCTTTCTCTCTTCATGGGCCCTGCCCTTGGCTGTTTGTGAGGTTCAGCCCCCACCTGTGGGAACCACTCTGCGCAGACCCAGGCAGGGGACCAGGGAGGGAGCAGCCTTAGTTCCTGCCTTAAGAAAAGCACCAGGAGAAGGGAATGAGTTCTCAGCTTCCTCAAGGTCACTGGCCCCAGAAGATCCAAAATCAGTATGGAGAGCGGACAGGTGAGTGAGGATAAGTGAGCAGCTGGTGGGGGGGGGGGGGGGGGGGGGGGGCCGGGAAGCCAGCATAACCCCCACCCTGTGTCCCTGGGCTCTCCTCCCCAGTCCCATCATGTCCCCCTCTCCTCCCAGAGCTCACCCAGTCCTACCTCCTCCACCCCTAAGTTTCGCCCACTCAGGCCTCTGCTCCAGGCTCCTGCAGCAGCAGCCCTTCCCACCCAGGCTCCATCCAGCCTCACTCATGTGGCCGGGGATCTTTCTAAAAAGTCAATCTGAGCCCGGCACACAGCAGTGTAAATCTTCTATGGCTCGCATGCCCTCAGGACACCGGCCCAGTTCTCCTGTGGGCCCACAGAGACCTGCCGTTGGCTCCCCATCACATATACGCTGCGCCCCCTACAGGGCTCTGCCAGGAACAGGGAACTGGTCTGTTTCCCAGGCTCTGGCCAGGACCTTCCTGATGGCTGCTACATGCACCCCAAGCCCTCCTGAGAGAAGGGGCTGGCATGGGCACACACCGGGCCTTCGTGGACGGAGGCCTGGCCAGCAGTGCTGTTCCTCGGCCACCTGTAGCACTCACAGTAGTAGATAACAGCTCATTACCTACGTACACTGGAATTCACTCCTTTGCTCACAGCTCCCTTTTTCTTCTAAGCTGCTGAGGTGAAGAAACCTCAGCCTCCGCGTCCCTGAGTTTTTCCTGCTTTGAGAACAAAGACCCTTTGACCTCCTGGCTTCTCTGGCCAGTCTTCCATTCTATCGGTAATCATTCAGGAAAATCTATTCAACAGCCACGAATAACCAGGCAGGAGGATGTGGAGATCACAGAAGCCCTAGAGAATGACTGGTTCCCGGGTACTTGTGCTGTGGGGAGAGGAAAACGAGCCACCATCCCTGTCCTCAAGGAGCTCTGCAGCTGGTGAAGTGGCAGACCTGATGCCGACAAGTTGTGCAGCCAGATGCCCGAGTCCTGCTTTTGCCTCTCATCATGGCTGCGTGGCCTCAGGAAAGGCCCTCCCTCTCCAGCACCTCAGTCCCTCCTCTATAAAATGGGATAACATCTAGCTGAGGACTGTTCTGGGGACTAAATGCGATAAAATACCATGCTGGGGACACCATAAGTACCCAAGAAACAGGAGGGCCACTCTAAGTATCCAGGAAATAGGAGGCCTGCGTTTGGTTCACACAGGACATTTGTTGGACCAGAGAGAAGGAAGAGAGAGAGGGGCCAGGAGCGAAAGAGAACTGTGAGAAAACAAAGCAGTTTCTCACAACATGCCTCTGAAAAACGGGCTCCCAGGTTGAAGGAATGTGAGGACACTGCCAGAATTCTCACCTCTGGCTGCGCCTGGAACCACCCAGTTTTCCAAGGCCTGCCACCCAGGCCACATCCCAGCCCTGCCCCGTGGCAATCTCTGGCGTGGAACCCAGCTCTGGAATTCAAGGGGCGGCTGGGTGGAGGGCCACTGGCACTCGTGTGCTCTGAAAGCCCTATGGTGAGCAAACCTGAGTAACCCAGCTTTTCCCAAACTCGCTTGACCACAGAAACCCATTAAAATCCTCCAGGAGCGTGTCAGGGAAATGCAGGCCAGGGTTTATAACACAGACTTTGGGAGTGGGAGGCCTAGTTACATTCCTGACTCTGCCATTTGAGAGCAAGGACTCCACCCATCAAAGCCTCTGTTTCTTTATCTATAAAGGGGAGCATTACGCCTACCTCTGTGCATTGTTAGGAGGATCACAGGAAATCAGGAGTGAAGCCCATGGGAAACACATGTGGTAGGTGCTATTATCAGTCACACTGCTAAGTGAATCCCAGTCCCCACCCCACCCTCCATGGCACAGGGGCCGCAACTACTTCTGCAACAAATCCATGCTGAGGACCTACTATGTGCAGAGGACCTACTATTCGGTGATCATCACAGACCTGGTCCCAGCCCACACAGCGCACAGTGTGGTAGAGGAGATAGATGTGATTCAAAGGATCATACAGATACATAATTCAGATGCGCTTACTGAGTGTGATGAGGGCTACCAAGGAAACACCAGGAGGGGAGCTGCGAGAATGAAACTTCTACTAGAAATCAGATCCCCGACTTCTACTGGGGGCTCATGGAAAGCTTCCCTGAAGGGGCAATTGAGCCAAGATGGGAAGGATTAATAAGTGTGAATGCAATGACGATGTGACAGGTGAACTGAGCTGGGAGATGAGAGAGGAGACTGGTACAGAGGCAGCAGGGGAAGGGACAAATGGGAAACACTGAGAGAGCAGAATGGGAAAGGCTGCTTGAGGGCTGGCAGATATCAGGTACTACTGAGTTTCTAGCATGAAAGCTGGAATGAATGGGCTGCTGAGACATTGCCGCCTTCCTTCCCAACACACAGGCCAATGGACGCTCCCTCTCCCATGCTTTATCTTCCAAATAGCATTTTCCCAATGTACTATGTACTTGACTCATTTATCTTATTTGTCTGTCTCCCGCCCACTACAACATAAGCACTAGGAGGGCAAGGACTTTTGTATGGCTCGCTGAGTTATCCCCAGAGCATACAGCAGGGCCCAGCATCTTGCAGGTTTTAAAGTTTGTTGAATGAATGAACTAGGAAGAAACCATGTCAAGATCACAACACACAACAACGTAGTTAGGGCTCCTAAATTGGTAAGAAAATCTAAGCCAATAAAAATGGTTTGTTGGGCCGGCCAAGTGGTGCATTGGTTAAGAACTGGCTTGGGA